AATACTGGTGTTAAAAATGAGAAAACTTTTAGTAAGACTTTCCAGAAAATATTTTCGCTTTAGTTTTTTATGCATCAACTTTTTAGACTAGTGAGCTTGCGAGCGTTTGTGTATTAGTACGAATCTTCTTTTTTTTGTAAACTAACTCGCAAATAAAAGAGTTCACTTATTTAGTGGTACGTTTGCTATAATCACGATCTCTTTGACTCATTTGAAATATCACAGCATCTGTTCTCTGCTTTATTTGTGGCTAGTTTGTAAGATTCAGCGTACTTAGCTAAGTGGTTAGTGCGTGGGACTCAAAATTTCTAGTTCGCACATCGAACCCGAGACGTAGCTGATTTCTTATTAATTCGAGGCTCATTTCTACTTGTTTTTGCATTTTATTGAGCTGCTTTTTGTCGTATTCTCGCTTATGTTTGCGAAGCACAGCTGCGCCTCTGTGTAAATACTTACGCATTTGATCCAAAAATAACGGTTTAGTTGAATTAGCTCAAACGAATGAATGCTGCTAATTTGAGTTGCTGCAAATGATCCTTTAAAATTGTCTTCTATTTTTCGGATCATACCAAAATCTTGAAGTAACTGAGGACTAGGTGAGACTTTGTCTCATCAATTTTGAGATAAATTGCAAGAAGGGCTGATATCTAGACTCAAATTAGATATCAGACGTGTGTTTAGTCCATTTTAGATGTAGAGAAATCTTCACTAGAACAAGAGATGTAAATTTTTAGGGTTGTCATTAGATGAAATTTGATGAGAGGCGGAGCTTCAATTTAACTTCTGCTACAACGTGATTTTATCTAATACCTTACAGTTTTTGACGCAATTCATAAGCCTGTTCTATTAGAAACGGTTAATGCGTGCTCTAACGTCTAACCGGAATACTGGTGTTCAAAATGAGAAAACTTTTAGTAAGACTTTCCAAAAAATGTTTTCGCTTTAGTTTTTTATGCATCACTTTTTTAGACTAGTGAGCTTGCGAGCGTTTGTGTTTTAGTACGAATCTTCTTTTTTTTTGTAAGCTAACTCGCAAATAAAAGAGTTCAATTATTTAGTGGTACCTTTGCTATAATCACGATCTCTTTGACTCATTTGAAATATCACAGCACCTGTTCTCTGCTTTATTTGTGGCTAGTTTGTAAGATTCAGCGTGCTTAGCTGAGTGGTTAGTGCGTGAGACTCAAAATTTCTAGTTCGCACATCGAACCCGAGACGTAGCTGATTTCTTAATAATTCTAGGCTTATTTCTACTTGTTTTTGCATTTTTTGAGCTGCTTTTTGTCGTATTCTCGCTTATGTTTGCGAAGCGCAGCTGCGCCTCTGTGTAAATACTTACGCATTTGATCCAAAAATAACGGTTTAGTTGAATTAGCTCAAACGAATGAACGCTGCTAATTTGAGTTGCTGCAAATGATCCTTTAAAATTGTCTTCTATTTTTCGGATCATACCAAAATCTTGAAGTAACTGAGGACTAGGTGAGAGTTTGTCTCATCAATTTTGAGATAAATTGCAAGAAGGGCTGATAATTAGACTCAAATTAGATATCAGACGTGTGTTTAGTCCATTTTAGATGTAGAGAAATCTTCACTAGGACAAGAGATGTAAATTTTTAGGGTTGTCATTAGATGAAATTTGATGAGAGGCGGAGCTTCAATTTAACTTCTGCTACAACGTGATTTTATCTAATACCTTACAGTTTTTGACGCAATTCATAAGCCTGTTCTATTAGAAATGGTAAATGCGTGCTCTAACGTCTATTCGGAATACTGGTGTTCAAAATGAGAAAACTTTTAGTAAGACTTTCCAGAAAATATTTTCGCTTTAGTTTTTTATGCATCAACTTTTTAGACTAGTGAGCTTGCGAGCGTTTGTGTATTAGTACGAATCATCTTTTTTTTGTAAGCTAACTCGCAAATAAAAGAGTTCAATTATTTAGTGGTACGTTTGCTATAATCACGATCTCTTTGACTCATTTGAAATATCACAGCATCTGTTCTCTGCTTTATTTGTGGCTAGTTTGTAAGATTCAGCGTACTTAGCTGAGTGGTTAGTGCGTGAGACTCAAAATTTCTAGTTCGCACATCGAACCCGAGACGTAGCTGATTTCTTATTAATTCGAGGCTTATTTCTACTTGTTTTTGCATTTTTTTGAGCTGCTTTTTGTCGTATTCTCGCTTATGTTTGCGAAGCGCAGCTGCGCTTCTGTGTAAATACTTACGCATTTGATCCAAAAATAACGGTTTAGTTGAATAAGCTCAAACGAATGAACGCTGCTAATTTGAGTTGCTGCAAATGATCCTTTAAAATTGTCTTCTATTTTTCGGATCATACCAAAATCTTGAAGTAACTGAGAACTAGGTGAGACTTTGTCTCATCAATTTTGAGATGAATTGCAAGAAGGGCTGATAATTAGACTCAAATTAGATATCAGACGTGTGTTTCGTCCATTTTAGATGTAGAGAAATCTTCACTAGAACAAGAGTTTTTGAGTTTTTTAAATAGCGAGAGTAAATGGCTAGTAATCGGCAACAAATCTGTAGAAAATGAACTTGCTTTATTATTGTGCTTTAGCATATTCCAGTCTCCTTTCCACATGGCCTAGAGATAACGCGGTTAACTTTGCATCTTTAAGTTTTAGATTCGAGTCATGGCCGGACTTAATTGTTTTCTGTATGCATGAAATTGCAATTTTCAGGCCTATTGTTTTTCTGCTTCTGTTTTGACGGCTTAGTTCCCACGTCACGAAGTTTTATTTTGTTTTAAACAATTTCTTTTATAGTTGTCAGTTTTGTTGATTTTTTCTAGTATTTCCATTGTGTTAATTTATTAACCTTGATTAAACTTTTTTGCTGAAACGTTATTTTCGCTCTACATGATTTCGGCAATATTATTTGGCTTTGTCAATTTTTGTGTGTCAGTTTGAAGGGAAAAATTGATTATTATGATGCAAAGAAGTTCAGCTCGTTTATGGTAAAGAAGAGTTTTAAAAGTGAATCGCTCATTTTTTTCATGACGACCATTTCTCATGCCAGTTGTTTTGTGTTTTGACCCAATGCGAGTCTAATAATTTTTTTGGCTTAGTGAACACTCATCAAACAATAAACGCCTTTTAAAACTGGTGTTTCTAGACTGCTCTATGCAGTTGTGTTTTTCGTTGATGCAAAAAAAGTGATGTTTTTGGCCACTTATTGAACGGTTTCGACCAAAAGATGCTTTCTCTGACGCGCGCTCCATCTCTCTTACAGTAGTTATTGGCGCCAAAGGCGGCTTTGGGGAAAGTTCCAAGGTTCGTCGGGCAAAACTGGATGTCGTAAATTGGTATCGAAGACGGGACCCTTCTGGTCAAGGAGCAGAATCCGTGAGCCCCCTCCCCCAAATCCTCCCCTGATTCTAAGCATTGTGTTTTTGTTGGGACTTTTGAAAAAAGTTCGGAAAATTTGTGCTTCGTGTCGTTGTTGTAGCTACACTGATTTCGGTTCCGAAGTTCTGATTGAATTGGAGTGATCGGTTCTGTTTGAGAGATAGATACATAGAGAGAGATAGGGAATTTTCGTGACTAGTCTCATATGATCTTTCATTGCAGTTCTCCCAGGTGCTCTAGCCTCAAAACCGACCGAAAAGGGGAATTAACTTTTTCCAGTGGACGCTCAAGAGGGAGGTTTGGTTGTCATTTATGATGGCTGTTCTAGGGGCCAAGTTTTTCGGAATGCGGAGAACCGAGTGAAATTCCATGCCCGTCTTCAAATTAGTGGGGGAAAACGAGAAAAACTACATGGGTTAATGCGATCAACTGTAGATGTTTGGGAGCTTGCTTCGTTTATTATTCAGTAACTTTTTAACTAAGCGTTTGTTTTTGACAAAATGTTTTCTACCCCCTCTAAAAGATATCAATGTCCTGAGCCCAAATTCAATCATGGTTTTTTGCCTGTGATTTTTTTGTAAACAATTTTAGGGTTCGAAAGTTGCCAGTTTTACCAAATTGGAATAATTAACGAGCGATATGTTGCGCTCTTCTAACTTTTATAACCGTTCTTGTAAGTGGCGATGTTTTGTTTATTTTTGTTCCTATTTTATAAAAAGGAATTCTGGTTCTTAATTACTCTTGCGATAAGCAAGGGTATGGCAATCTGGTACTAAGACTTTTTTCAAGTAAACAACTTTGTCCATATGATGATCTCCAATTCCATTTGTCTCTCTGTTGGAACTGCAGCAGACATATTTTGAGGATGTTAGTATCTTGAATATCCGTCCTATTCGAAATTTGATTTTTACCAACTTGTTTTACAAGTTGTAATTTTACCAACTTGTTTTTTATTTCTTTTTTTTTTTTAATTTTTTTTTCTCTTTTTTCCCGGTTAAATAAATTGTGGCCTATTTTATTTCGGCTTATTGGCCTCATATTGCGTCCTTCAATAAGCGAAAAAGTTTGTGCAAAAAAATGTGTAATGAAGGAAATGGACTTTTGCAACTTTTTATCAGTTTTTTGTCTTTTTTCTTTTTTTTATTCATTGTTTCGTTTCTTCTTTCTCTTCTCGGCCTAATAATATCGGCTTTTTGGCCTCGCTTTTTGTTTTTTAATGAGCGAAACAAAAGTGTGTGTGTGTATTTAAGGGTATGTGGCTTTAACAACTTTATTAGTTTAAAGGTCATTTCTAAATTTCATTTTTTTGCTTTTTTTCCTGGGGTTGAAAAGTTTCGGCATATATTATATCGGCCATTTGGCCTCATATTTTGTCATTTCATGAGCAAAAAAAGTTTTAGTATGCTTGTGTGTATTTAGGGGAATTGCAAGACGAAGAATTTATATCAGTTTTTGAGTCTTTTTTTTTCAGTTTTTCGGCTTAAAAGGTTTCATCTCAGGTATTTTTGGCTTGTTTACAGCTTGTTAAGTTTTCTGATTCTATTTTTGCCTTCTGTTGTCCTGGTGTGAGTTTTGATACTTTCTGTTTTGTATTGTATCGCAAGTGGCAAGTATTGTATGCCTTTGTACTAAGCATATGAGTGTTGCATTTGAAGTTTTCAGTAATTTACCGGACAACTATTACCATCCAAGCCCAGTTAACTAAGGAAGAAAATCGCATCCAGGCTTAACAGCGATTGGTTACCCACACTGACTTGACCAACTTATAGGTTGGTCTTTCACCTCGCTCATAAATGGTCTTAATAATGTATGCCGACTTGGTCGTGTAATTGAGCTCCATATTCTCTTTGATATTTCCACGATATGTTTTGAAAAATTGTTCCTGTCGATTCGTTGGTTGCTTCCTGTATGTATCTGATACTGATCTATTTATAAAGGAAGCATGACGTTAAGGGCGACTTTGATTCTCATAATTGTTAAATCGCTAGTTGGTACCAGCAAACTAGAATTGGGCTACTTCAAGCGTTCATCACAGCAAGTAGCCCAGTTGCGTCAGACTTGAGTGAACAACAACTTTTTCGTCAACATTTCACGCTCGAGAGTTTAGTGCTTGACTTGAGAAGCACATGACAATTGACATCTGGGTTTTATTGAAGTGAGTCACTTCAGTTAGAGTCAGCTTTATATCGTTTTTCAAAGGGGCTTTTGTAGCAACATACATATTTAATAGACAGAGACGAGGGAGCCTTACTGTTAAGCGTTAACCCTTTCTAAAGTGGCCTTTGTGCTTGGCTGCTGTTGAAATACATCTGCTTTATGGCTGTTTCATTGTTTATTTACAGCAGCAAGTTAAAGCAACTAGAACAGAAAAACAGCACCCAACATCTTTGCAATTCTTTTGAAGCAGTTGTTGCAAAGAAAAGGGTTTTGTTGTTGTTGTTGTTGTCGTTGCGAGGGGAGAAGTGAAATTGTACCTTCCATTTGTAGTAGTACGAGGAGAGGAGTAACGAGTACCCACCCAGGCACTTGCATGTTTGTTGCAATCTGTGTTGCTAACTGTTGTTAATTCCCCTTCCTTCTTCCCTGTGTGTGTACCTGTGGGTGTTTTTTTATTTCCCCCGTTCACCGGTCCCTAGCTGTACTAAGTCAAAAAAGGTTTCCGCATCGAAGAGAATTGCTGCTGACTGCGAGAGATAGAGATATTTGCCCTTTTTATTTAGCCCCGGGAAAAGGGTTCGACGTAATAATATTGTAAACACTTGCGTTAAATATTCAATTAGCGAACTAATAGATGTTTACAATTTAAACATCTGCCGCCGTCGACAATAAAAAACGTGTTGCCTCTTTTGATATTTCCTTTTCCCAGTTTTGCCCGCAAAAATTTCGCGCTAATTGCTTCTCAAATTTTTAGCTCTTCGATTTGATTTGAGCAGTTTCCCCAAAATTCAATTCTAACACTCTTTGCTTTGCGCTCCTCAAACACAATTTGTCACTTTGATCTACAGGTAATTTAACTTTATCAGCAACTTCAATTCGCCCTGTTTTCTTTTCTACCCCCCATCACCCCCTTATTTTTCCCACTTTTTCCGCTTTTTCTGCTTCTATCAGCCAATGTGTAGCTGGGTTTCGTTTTATCCCACTAATAGTGCGCGGAAACATTTCATTTCCTAATCAGCATAATCGTATTGGGCTTTATTTCAGGTGGGCTCATGCTTGCCAAACCAACTAACTATTTAAACCACATTTATACAGTTTTTGTTAAAAAAAAGACAGTTGTTGCTTGCTTGGTTTTTAAAAACAAGGTAAGTTAAAATTCGCCTTTTTTGTTTCATTTTATTAAGAGGCTGGTTTGTTTTAATTGATAAGAAAACGCCATCATTGGTCTTATTCGGTATCAACCTAAACCCAAATAGGGTTAAGTCAAATCTTAACCCCAGAATCTGATGCAGTGTTTATAAACGTGGGATTTGTTAGTCTAAACATTTGTCTCCTTTTGTTTATCCGAACATACAAAGGTGCTGGAAAACTAAACTTAAGATGAGTTTTGTTAGCCCAACGATTCAGATAATTCAATCGGAATCGTGAAACCTTTCTGATTCTTACAAGTACCAAGATTTTGAATTAAAGGTATTGGATGAGATAAGATGCACAATTATAGCTTCCATACTGAAGTATCATTTCCTTTCAATGGCTCCTTGGTGTTGCTTTTGATATATGGTGTATACAAAATGCAGGCGAGCCCGAATCATTTAACTTTTGTTTATAATACCTCGCTGACTTTCCCTTGTTGAGAAGGATAGCATATTGTACTAACTATCTGAGTTGAACTTGTAGCCCATCCAAATGGTGCTTTTGGGGTAATTTGCGGTTTCAAGGTTCGAAAGTGATAATACTTCGGTTTGATTATTGATTGCGGCTTAGACCTTTCCTTTCGGTCCTATTGATTTTAAAATAATTTCAAGTTGAGATCTGTAGAATTGAATATTCGATAAATTACAAACCCTATCAATTAATATTAGAGTCCGCATCCTGTTTTTGGTGGTGATTCGACTTTTTATCTGCTAACGTGGGTAAGTATATATTAATTATGAGTTGTCATGGTTATAGCGAATAAAGTGTGCAATGCTGTCATCTATCCTTTTACGGTAGTTGCCTATTATTTAATTATGCACCTTTGATTGTAGATCCCTAATTTATTGGCTAGATAATTAAGGTATACCTTCCTATTCTATTTTGACAACACGCAGTTGAATTTGGATCTCATTTAGATCATCTTATAATTTTGTCTTAAAAATAGTTAAAGTTTCGCTTGAGAAATTTAGAGTTTACCAGCTGTGCTTTACAACACCTGTTGTGCCCATTGATTTTATACAGACAAATTGGTGGACCCACCCACGGCTAACAATCCAGGCATTTTGGCCCTAAAAGTATTCAAACGCAGCATCCAAATCAATTAAGCACGTTTCAACAAGTACAATTTGTAGAATATTTGAGGCCATATTAGTAAGAGCCCAGAGCTTGAAAATGCGTCACGCTAATTTAGCAGGTACTCAATTATCCAGAACCTGGCTACTTTTATGAAAGTATAATTGCCCAATCTACCTAGAAGTAAGCTTGTGTTAAACTCATTTTGTCAAGCCAAAATACAAACCAGTTGTCTATTATCAAGCAAAAATTCAAACAATTCAATACCCTGAAGCTCGTATTAACAACAATTATAGAACAAAACGCTCTTTTCATTTGCAATTTTTAGGTGAGTCAAGGATTGTTTTTTTTCCGTTACGTTCGGTGTTTCAAAAAGTTTTTAATTTCTTAAAGTTTTATTTAACTGCGTATATTTTCGGTAGAAATCTAATGTTTTTTTTTGTTTTATTATATTGGGCTGTTTTATAGCTGTTCTCAACTTTGCGGCGTTTGAATTGTTAAAGTTCATTCATGGTACATTTGTGTGTGTATATATGTGGCTAAAGGTTGGCGTTTTTGGCACAGGTAAAACTTCGGTACCATCGTACTAAGCAAAGCAGGTCTTAGATGAATAAGAGGTTGAAGCTTTTTTGTCTAATCTCGAAGCTGTGCTACCTTATACGCCGCGCTTTTTACACGTTTAAATGAAGCCCTCTCGCTTTCTCATTTTGCCTCAATTGAAACTTAACGTGCGTGCTTTTCTTTATTTTGCTGCGATTAAAAAGCGACTAGAAAGTGACTAATTTTAAAACACCTGCCTCGAGACACTGCTCAGAGAAAATTGAAACAATAATCAGGAAAACCCGCTTTGAAAAGACAGTTGCTACTACTGAAGCCGTGTACAGGTACTTGTACTTGCTAAGCCCACTTAACCAGGTTCGTTGTCATATGGACCGAAAATTTATTGTTGAATTAGTAATATCCGCATTTTTTGACTTTCAACCCATCTATTGATATTCGGGTAGCATCTTGCTTAACTTGCCTTTAAGAATAATAAAAATTTAATAAGCACCCAATAGCAAGTTAAATTGTTAGATTAAATATTTCTAAATTTTAATAAATTTTTGTTTACGCAGTTATTTATTTTCAATGAACCAGATGTACTGAGAGGCGCTCTTAGAATTAAAGCAATTTTAAGACCCAAATTTGGTAAGTAAAACTTCAAAGTTCAAACTGACACTTCAAACGGCAACACGTTTTGCCCCTTTTCTAGACTGTCATCTGAAAAACTGACAAAAATAATCGTCGGGCCTTATTGGGTTTTTAGGGCGAACGTCCTTCATTGCTGACATAGTTTTTTCATTGTCATTTTAAAAGAGAATCGCAAGATGCAAGCACAACTAGAAAAGAGAAAACTGTCCTGTCAGTTTTTAGTTTAGCCTTGCTTTTTTGTCTGAGTTGGGAAACATTGCTAGGCATAGGAGTACGAATAGTGGAAGGTACCACTACACCACGTAGGCAAAGATGATAGTCATGGCACGCGTGCCTTGCGCCTGATGTTACACTTTTGCACAAATGTCGTTTTGCCTGAATTTAATTTGCTCAATGATTTTTTCACAGTCAGTTTAGTTTTCCCCGTTGATGCCGCTCGCTTTCGCTTTGCTTCCATTTATCTGTCCAAACTATCATCATCGTAAAAGTACCAAGTGTGTAAAATACACTGTATTCCATACTCTGTATTGCGCTAGTTATATTTTCCCCTGTCCCAGATAGTATCCCGTACCAGACAGAAACTCAGCAAAAATCAGAAGTTGAAGTAAGGTACCAGCAGATCATTTTAAAAATCAACCTAGGTCATAATTTTTAAATTATATCTCAACTTTCATAATTAAAAAATTCAATTTGCAAGTTTCCCACGGCCCTATTAAGAACAGCTTTTTGAGGGTTTAAGCCGTTTTCAGTGTAGTTTTAATAAATTAGAGGCGAAATAGTTGCTAGAGGAAGTTTAACGACACTGGGAGTTTTGAAAAGGCAGGGAGCTTTCCCTAAACAAAGTGCCAGCGCAGATCTGAAAATACCACCAGCCAGTGCTATGCGTAAGACTAGGGGAAAAACAGTGAGCGAGGTACATTATGACTGTGCTGTGACTACAAGAAATGAGAGAGAAAGAGAAAGGGCCTTCCTTGCCTCAACGAGGCGTAACATCTGCCACTAGCTCGCTACCATTAAGAGTACATTGCAAACATCTCAACATTTAAAGCCACATTAAAACACCGACCGATATCACGTTTAACTAAATTGAAAGGGATAGATAAAACTGGCGAAATAGCAACTGATTTTTTGGGATATATTGATTTTGGACGAAAAGCCAGTGCCTACTATTGTAAGTTAGTTTCATTATTTTTGTAATAGAGTGACTCTTTTTATCTGTTAGATGCCCGGTTCCAAAAATTAATAGGCGAGAACTAAACAAAGCGAAGGTTCTATCTAATCAAGGTACTCTGAAGTTGATAAGTTCTTAGTTACAACCGTAGTAGTTTTATGTTTTTTTTGTCTGATTCAATGGATCGCAGCTTAGCAGCACATTGTACGTACGATGAGCTTAGCTTTACAATTTTTCAAGCTCTATGGAAGCCAAAATGGGGGTACTGGGATAAATAGCCCAGCGGCGGCAGTTGTTTTGCTCTGTTTTGTTTTGTTTTTGCCTCTAATTCTTATTGGATGAGTGATCACGTCGAATAGCACCACGTGTGCAAGTAGAAGCTTGTTTGGAATTCGTTGGATGTGTAACATATTTTCAAACAAATATAAATATATCTACTTTAATAAATTCGAACAATTAAAAGGGACTGCGATCATTTGCCTATTTTAGTTTTTATCTTTTAATCGCTCTCTCACTCTTTTTCCCTTCCTCAAAAAACCCGGATTTTATATTTTCCCATAATATTTAAATTGCTCCTATTGAACAGAAGTGTAAACACTATCATTTTGAAAATTAAATTAAATTTAGTTTGCCAAAATAAAGAAAAAGGTGAGGCTGCTTCTTGTTATTATTTTAACCGATTTGTAGAGAATTTTAGAAATCTAATTTCATCTACTATAATTCTTCATTTTTTTGCATTGGGTATTTTCATTTTTCATACGGCTTTATATTATAACTTAATATACTGGCTATATATTATAACTTAAATTAATTTTGATATTCCATCGATCCGTAACTTTGACTTAACTCTTGGTAATGTGTTTCAGGTTTATTGTTGCTGAACAATTTGTGTTTCTACCTTGATTTGAGAGTGATTGCTCTTAAACATCCATATCTTGACCTGACCTCCCGCATTTGTATTTGACCCCTTCCGAATTGGAGACGAAAGTCGAAGTGGACGTGACCCCTTAAACTGAAGAATATCATGGACACGTCTTTGGTCGCCTCGTTCTGTGACGAGGACAGATTCAACAATGCCTTCTACATTCTCAAGAAAACAGTTGACTTCCTAAGCACAGAATATGGCATGCATTTTGTCATACTATCCGCATATCAGTCCAGCAAAGCTGCGTCAGTGGCGGCTGCATACACATCGCCAGGACCAGCAGCAAAGTTCTTCGACGATAAGCATTCCAAACAGACAGACAACAACAATTCTACCAATTCAGATCCGAAAAACAAACAGCCAAGTAGTTTAGTCCATACTTGGGACGAGTTCGCGAAGAATTTTTGTTTTCAAGATAAACGCCACTCTTATCACAACACGCCTGCATATTCGGAGTTTATCAAATCGGATCTGAACGACAATTCGCTCGGTTCGGGTGCGAATTGCGAAGCCGAACTGGAAATGGACGAATTGCCGGAACCGCCGAGTAGCCTCTGCTCGGAAACCATGTATTACTGCAACGGTGAATTCAAAAGCGAAGATATCGAAAACTCACACAGTCCGAACTCAGACAGTGGAATTTCGGGAGACGAAGACACGAAAAGGAAAAGTGACCAACGAACAAAAGGATTAAAGAGGAAAAGTTTGCAAGATGTCAGCGACCAGTTGGCCAAAAAAGCGACCAGGGCTATGAATTATTACACACCTGTATACCCGGCGGCACCCAAACTAGTGACGCCATCATTTGCAACCAACGAGGCTCTTCTTAATCTCTCGAACGCGCTCCTGAGAAACACCACAAAAGCCAACGCTAATGCGTCAGAGCTGGACTTCAGTGCCATCAAACCTCTGTTGAATTCGGTCTCAAATATTTTTACACAGTCAGCCGCGGCGTCAGCTTATGCTGCATTAGCCCAGCAGCATAGAGATTGCTCGATATTCGGACCTAATGTCAAATCGGAGCCGAACGCAGTGCCTTCCTCAGTGATTACAGCGAACCGAAAATCGAGCGCCGGATTGTCGTCTCCGGAAATCTCGACATTTGGCAGTTCTGATTCACCTCTGCAGATACACGTGGACTCAAAGCCGACTAAAGTACCGAGTCGAGGAAAGAATTCGGACAAGAAAAATAACACCCGAGCGCCTCCGAGTCCGATGAAAGGATCTTCAGCGTTGAATGCGAACGGAACGCCTAAACAAATGTGGCCTTGCACAGTATGCTCCAAAGAGTTTGCTAGTCAAAGCACGATGAAGAGGCATTTGAACCACTTTCATCTGAAGGTGCACAGCTACACGTGTACATATTGCCAAGAGATATTTTACAGGAAAGATAAATTGGTCGCCCATATCAAGATCAAACATGGCGTAGATACAAGCAGATCTGCACGATTGGTAACGCAAGCGAAGACCTCGCCGAACGGAAGTTACACGACTAACAGCACCATATCCCCAGTGTCGCCCGCGACTAGCCACGGAAGTCCGACATCCTCGGCCGGAAACATGTCGACAGGAACCGCCTCTCTAAGTCCAGTGCCTTCGCCATCGCCTAGCACCTGTGTTGTACAGCCCATGACACCGCCCTCATTCTCACCATCACCCGCTCCTTCACCTCTTTCGCTTACAGTATCATCATCCTCATCAGGTGTCACAACGGTCTGATCTGACCTGAGGTCACCCAAGGTCACATATCCAAAGTTAGAAGCTCCTGCCACATGACACTAGAGGAGAGTTCCAATACATTACACATGTCAATAGTAAGGTCACGTGACTAACGAGGGTTTATTACGAGGACGATGATGTCATTTAGGTCTTCCAAGAGAAGTTTCAGTTATTTCGCATATCAGATTCTGTCGCCTATTTTCTAATGTAAAGTTTTAGTCTAGTCAACAAACTTATCATGGTCTTTCTTTTTTAAGTTCACATAAATGCCTTCACTTTGTATATAATAGCTAAGCAATATGAGGTTTGAAGAACCTAAAGAAGTCTTGCGCAGCAAGTGTACTTAAGTCATGGGTTATGTTTGGTCACAATTTTGAAGCTGCTAACCTGAATGAGTTGATGATTTCAAAATGGGATAAACTTGGTGCAGGGCTTACTTTAAAGCACATCGTCTTTTCACTGATTAAAAAGAAAAACTTGTCATGAGTTGATTTGTGATTTTTCTATATAAAAATTGAGTTTCCTAATGTTATAATAAAATTATTAATGAACAAAAATCAACTCATCTCAAGATGATTTTTTATAGAATTTTAGATCTTGATATCCAACTACACTCTGAAAAATGTACCGAATTTAATTTTCTCATAAAGTTGTAAATATACGTTATAAAGACCTTTATGTTAAGTACCTTATTTCGCCTTGTTTTTTTGCTTAACTACAACGATCATAAACGAATTTCAAAACTGTTGCGCATTCCAAAATTATTTTTTTTTGTTTTTCTTTCGGTGTTTGGTGCTTAGCAAGTAGTATGTATCACTATCTCTCACATTTCAGCCACTAAACTAAATCCTATCTAGTTTTCGCAATTCTTCTTGTGATCATTAGCGACAAAACGTTAAGTTAAATTTTGTTTTGTATCAAATTTGTATTTTGTGACGTACCACCTTCTTACATCCGATTGCATTCAGTCTTACATTTGGGTTTCGCCATCCGCTTAGAAGCTTAAAGTGTCTTAAAAAGTAACCTTAAATACTCTTTCTTTCTTCCTCTATCTCACTCTCTATCTTTGCCTCCCTTTTTGTTGCTTATAAAGATGTGATCGAACCAATCTCGTCGGTTGGGTAAGACAGTGCCGAAGTAAGAGAGTGCCGAAAACAAAAATTTGTTAAAGAGTGCCGAAAATGAAAATTTGTTAAAGAGTGCCGAAAATGAAAATTGAGTGCCGAGGTGGGTGTAATTAGTGTTTTCAGCGAGGCATGGCCCGCTAATATTTGGCAAGGACCATACGTTCGCTCCGCTTCGCTCCGCTCACTTGAATCCGATACGAGTGCTAGTTGTGTCTAAGGGTCTGTGTTTCAGGAATTAAAGAACTTAGTAGCATTCTATCACCCAAGCGAGGGTGCCGAAAACAAAAGAAAAGAAAGTTTTGTTTGCTCATCGATTTTGGCGCCAAAATTGAGTCTGAACAAGTTTCAAGTGTCATTATTAATTTTCCCGCCAAAAGCTAGCCTCTTAAATTGCGTTCCAATATTTCCCGCCTTTTTCGGCACTCTCTAACTTCGGCACTGTCTAACGCCCCCATCTCGTCCGCCGTGCAGCTATGACAACATATTTCAAATGAATTAATCAATATCAATTTATTTTAACATAAACTTTAAACTTTTTCTTTTGTCTTTCAATCAGTTCAGTTGATTTTTGTTGAGATTCAAAATGAGCTTCTGAGAATTGAGATCCAGAAAAGCCATGGTATCAAACGCGGGCCGTCTTATTCGAAAGAATCATACACTAGAAACTAATCAACAGGGAAATTTAAATGGATCTTTGTAGTATGTAACAGGAAATGAATCAAGAACATGGCGGAAACTTGTGTTTAATTAGCGAAACGCAAGGATAATTTAAATATTTAACAAAAAGTTTCAATAGGCTTGCAATAAGTACGCAAAGTTACACCAAAGTAGCTCTGTCGACATCACGAACTAGAATCAAATTAAGGACTTTTTCGACGCACCAAGGTGCTGGATGCTTTCACTGGTAGAACCTAAAAGCTCTTTCAGTCTGGATCGAATGACACAAACTTAATTTCAAAAAATTTATCGAGAAATGTTTGCCAGAATTTTTCTAAATTTTTGTTTCGTTTTCTGTTGATTTTTGTAAATTTTTTGTGCCATGTTGTCGCTTGTTAAATATAGTTTTTGCATTTTTCAGGAAACTTGTAGTCTTCTGAATTCAGTTAAAGAAGCCGTTTCGAGACACTGTTTCGAAGACTAAAACGTTATTTCTATAGAATTTTTAGCCAGACAGAAAAATCTATTTTTCTTGACAGAAGTAAGGTTTCTTTCTGCCATATTTGTTTTCTCTTAATTTTTCAATTTCTTTTCTTGAATTTGACGGCGAACAGGTTGTTTTCGACGACCTACATAAGTGTCTCCACTACATTTATGGACACCTGAAATTCATATGACTGAAATTCCGTGGGTTATTCTATCACATGGCAAAGATTTTGCAAATAGATGTTAGTATAGCTTTTTCTAATAATTGTCACGTTCTTTTTCCATGATCCTGATTGCGTCTAAAGGATTTGAAAGAAAGGAAAATAGTCAGGTGAGATTTTCTGGTTACATGGTAACCTCGGTAAAAAATTTGCAAAGGAAGTTTTTTACCTTCTACAATTAAAGTATCGTTTTCGATTCACGAAATTTACAGACGTGCGAATTTCATATATTAAAATAGCTGATTTTGTCCATGTGGCGGGACTCGTTTTTACATGCAGACCGGAGTTTTATGCTTTTCCTACTATTGTCTGTCTGTTTCTTTTTTTTCCGGCTATGCCACGCAGCAAGTAACTTTTTTGAAGGTTGGATTTTCTAAACATTGTTTATGTCCATATGACCTTCTCAATAGCGCAGTTATTTGGGTTCCATGGTTTTTTGTGGATATTTTTTGCAAGTTCTTATGAAAAAAAATGAAAGTTTTTATGAAAAAAGAAACGATTTTTCGATTTCTGCACGTTATCGTAGTGTTTTAAACTGCGCAGATGGCTTTTCCGACGACATAATTGATAACTACAATTATGGTCGGATTGTATTTTTTTTTTGGCTCCCAATTAATCGGCGTCGTTTCCAGTATGAGTTTTTTCTCCAAGTAGGATTCTTAAGCCAGTTAACTTTTTATTTGTCTTTTGTCAATTATATGGCTCACCAGCGGTTTCTGTTTGCTTTCGGTCCAATTTTGATGTAAACCCTTTTTAGATTTCAATTGTATGCTGAAAGGTTTTCTGTGATTTTTTGGTCATGTTTGATAAATGATTTTTTGCTCTAACAATTGAGAGAAAAAGTTAACGCAGTTTTAAAAAATCCAAATGTATGATTTTATCAGATTACAAAATTAAAAGAAAAAACTATAAATACTGTTTTGTTGTTTTTCAGTAATTATAGTTTCTCCTTTTTCAGAAATTGTGCGATAGAAGCTATGACTGATTGATTAGTTATCTTTAATTGTAAATGGCGAAGAAATTTGTATTCGGGTGCGTTTTTTTCTAGAAAATTCAGGTACCACAAATAATCATTGGAATAGGTCAAGTGATATATCGTATTAAAGCTGCTTCAGTCGTGATTCAAACGACATTTGAAAATTGAAAATATATCAAAAAGTTGTCTCAGTGACGAGAATTACCGGCGTGAATGTTTCGATTTTTAGTCTCATTTAGAGCGAGTAAGGCGATCGAGTAACGTTCGTTAAATAAAATTTGGTTATTTCAGCTCTGAAAACTTGATATCCCTGAAAATCAAATTTCATGAACTTCATTTAGCGCTCCTTTGGCAAAAAAGAATTCGCTTCTTTTTTTTCAATTCAATTTTGAAGCAAACTTTTTCGATTATGCCTAATTATGTACCTTTCTACGTTCGTATAGTTCTCTCATCGCACGACGTATTGTAAATGAACTTTTTGTACTCTTCTTTTTTGTAGTTTTTTTTTGGATGTCGTTGGAAAATTCTGTCTTGCGCAGCAACCGGCTATCCTTGTTTCATTATGTTTTTAAAATAGTCAATCATGCTTGTTGAAGGATAGCTTCTGAATATAAGCAGAAATAGTGGAGTCCGGCTCATTGATTTTCGCTTCGTTAATTGTGATTCAGTTTGTGATAAGTTTCAAAAAGTAGCGTATTCCGCTTTAGTATCAAGTATCACTGGAATCTTTCTGTCGGCTAGTAATTCTGAAAAAAGTTGATGATTTCCAAATCTTTGCTCTGCACTGGAATTTTTTTCTGCTCTGATCTACATTTGAAACAGGTAGCATGCGCTCTATTTTAGTTTGCCATAAAAACTTTCATTCAAGCTCGGGAACTGAAGGGTTTCAGTTTTCATTTTCAGAAGTATCGTTGTTTTCAGCCCTACCTGTATAATTGTCTTGAATTCAATAATTACGTAAAATTCGACATGAAACAAACAGCAAAATTAGCGCAGCGGATGTTTTATCTGAAATCATTGCATTGTATCCCGCTTACTTGAAGAAATCAATGATTTGCATTTTTGTTATCTTTCCGTTTTCCTGAATTTAGAGCTTCAGCTAAAATCAGAAGGAAAAACAATCAGATGGCATTTTTGGGAGATATCGTAATATCTGAATAAACTTTGTTAAATAAATTTAAATTAACCTGTAAATCTCTGTTGCACTAAGTTAATCCTGATTACGGCTTACGTCCAAAGCAAAAAAAAATGTCAAGAAAATAGTCTGAAGAAAAAACGTTATTTAAAAGTTGCTTCTGAGTTGTTGTTGAGACCATTTTCACGCAAAATCAGGTACCGCTAATAATCATCGGAAAGTGTTGAGTTAATTACCATAATAAAGCACTTTCAGTTGCGATTCGAGCGATATTTAATAATTGTGAAAAACCCGTTGGAAATTTTCGATTTATGGTCGCGAATAAGGTGAGCGAGCAGGCTTGAGTAAAGTTAGTTTTTGGAGTTTGTTTGAGCCATTTTGGGAATCAAAAACTTTCAAATTTTTTTGTGATTTTTTTCTTCGTTTTCTATTAATTGTTTCACCAAAACTTTTTCCAATTTGCCTATTTTTTATAACTGTCGAATATGCCTAAATTGTAGGAAAAATACTTCGAAAGTTTTTCAAGACTATGGTCTGAACATTCTGTGCTACTTGCACAGTAACCGGCTGTCCTTGTTTTTCTTTTGTATTTGGATTTTAATATCAACGCTATCTAGACATTGTTCTTGCTATGATTCTCAAAAATACAAAAAATTCCATCTCATTACATTTGCTAATAGCAATAATTCAACCATTTTTTTTCCTTGAAATGTTTAGTCAGATTTCACACGTGATAATGAAACACGTATTTCAACTTGCTTTATAATTATGTGAATTATTTCAAATACAATAGATGATTTTGTCCGTGTGGCGTAGATGTAAAGCCAATGCCTGGTACGACAAAATCTTCGGCTTTGTGTCCTGATTAGACCTGTTTTTTTCTTTAACCGTTTTTCTATACCTTTCTACTACTCTCGGTTGTCTGTTTGATATCGGCTTAGTCCACAAAGCACAGACTTCTTTTAAATTTGGTTGTAGTTGATTTCCAAGATAGTTTGAGGTGATTTATTTTGCTAATGTGGATTTTTAATAATCTCAGTATTTTAAAGACCACATAACCTAAAGTTAGTAGAGACTTGACCGACGTGGTTTGAGAAAAAGTTGCCGTTCGAACCATTTTGAAATTCTCCAATCTAGATTTTTTTGACTTTATTTTTTTGGGCTCCTAGTTGATCAGCGTTATTTCTAAGATAATTTTTTTTTCAAATATTTTTCAAGCAGCATATTTTTTCATTATGTTTTTGACAAAAGTAATCGTAAGAAGCGATTTGAATTTTTTTTGACGAATCGTATTTGGCTGATTGTTTTTGTCTGAAATTTATTTTGACGTAATTTCAGTTGCTCAGTATCAGTTTGTTTGGAAGTTGACAAGAAATTTTGTACATGCAATCATATATGTGAAATTAATCTGTTTTTTTTTAAATGAAATATTGGTCCCGATTTTTTTTGCTGAATTCTATCTCGAACTCTTTCTGTGCAATTGTTCAATATCAGCTGATAAAAAATCCGTTTTTGTTGATGTGGTTTTTTGTTGATGTGGTTTTTTTCAACTCCTCCTATTAGGTTTGAGGTTTTTGAAAAAGCAATCCGAATTTGTTTCATGGGCTTTAAAAATTCACATTCAGGGGGACTTAGTACACCTAATTGAGAATTCGTTTTTTACTGGAATCGTTAAAGTTTCAAAATAGAAGTGATTTTTATTTATAAAGGGTTTTCAAGTTTTGTGGAATTTTTTTAGTTGAAGCTTTTCGTGTTCTTTTTTTGCGGTTTGATTTTTCATATCTTTTTAATCTCGCTTCAATTTCATGGACCAAATGGAAGACAAATGATTATTTGCGGCAACAAATATGGGAGTGGTGCGCGAATCATGGAGCTTAAATTTAGTTCAACTTAGATATTAATATTTCAAGCTCCCGCGGAACCCAAAATTTGAGCTTGGTGCTAAACTGAAAACTCGTTTTTAGAGTTAGATTAAAAGTAGCTTAGTTTTTGACTTTAAGTTAGCGCTTTTAAAAAAGTAAGTCATAAAGGATTTGGAAATTCAAATAAATTTGAGGTGATATAATTTGCTCTACTTAACTGATTTCCTATCTGAGTTAATTCAAATTGAGCTCATTTTAAGGGTTCGTGTTTATAATTTCCTCTGAATAATTGGGTTCTTGTTTTTCAATGTGCGCGAGTTGGAGCTTCTGATGAGCAAGCGTTATCAAATCGGAATATAGGCTTTTCAGGCTGACAACTTGTCTAACAAAATCACTGAATGATTTGTACCAAAAGATATCTGCGCTAGCGAATTATTTTCAGTTCATTTTGAATTTTGTGTTTGTTGATTGCAAATCAACTTTTAAGTTTTTATTATTTCCCTTTTAGCTTTTTTTTCTTTCGACTTGATGTATATTTGTCTTATAAACGTTTTTGACTCATCTTATATGAGCTTGGTGGCCTCATACTGCGTCGTTTGAAGGACAATATGTTTTTTTCTTTTTTTTTATTCGTGGTGCGTGGTTGGACATGTGAACCTTGCTTAAATAGTCTGATTATTCATTCCGACCACGAAGTGGGAAAGAAACTAACTTGAGCGTTTTTAGTTTTCAGCGCAAAATCAGGTAGCTCAAATACATTCCAGAATAATTCGAGGGAAAAGCTCTCTACTCTGATGCCATCAATAATAAAAAAAGTTACAAAAGTGTCGAGAAGAATCGGTTTGAATTTTTTGAGTTGCGTGGAAAACAGCAAAGAAGTCGCAATAGCGTTTTTATTGTTGCGTAGTTTGTTTTTAGCTAGCTATAGCTTTTTTTGCTATGATTATGTTAACCCTTGTCACAAGCTGTGATATTGCAACCGGGTACAAGACTTTTATGAGCATTTTTGCTTTTTAAATTCCTGTTTTATCGGAAATATGCGTTTTATGTTGGTTGTAATGTTAACAACTTGGTTTGGCAAAATTTCCTGTTTGTTTTTTTTTTTCCATTTTTTTTGTCTTGAAAGCTCTCGGCACATATCATATTGGCTTTGTGCCTCATTTTGCGTCGTCTGAGCTATTAAATATTTATGTGTTAAGAGAAGAGTTCTTTGAGTTTCAAGTTATCGCTGATAAAAACTTTTTTGGCTCAACGGGCGTCTGCTCTAGTATCGTCGGCTCTATCGCCGCTTCTTAAATCTTTGTTGCGATGGTTATTTAACATACAGTTGTCCTAGTTGACATTTTTATCGAAAGGAACTTCTTTATAGCAGATTGCTACAAACATGAAAATTATGGTAGAATATAGTTTTTCGATAATTTTTTCGACAACGGTTTTTTTTGGTGCGCAATAATTTTTCATGCTATATTTGTATGGTATCTTTTTTTCTCTTCGTTCCATATTGCAGTTTTCGACCGAATTCTTTCTTTCGTTATCAAAACATGACAGTAAGTTACTAAAAAAAATTGAAAAAAAAATGTCTTTACTTTCGATTTTTTCAAATAATTTATTTCAGTCGGAAAATTTTGTGATACTTGCATAGCAAACGGCTGTCCTGTCTTGATTAGATTTTATTTAAGATCAGACAAATTCAATCAAAGGAGGATTTTCTGAGTTTAAACTGTTCTTCTTTTGAATGGTGATGTTTTGTTTTTTCAGTGTTGTCTTGCTAAGTCAATATAAACTTAAGAATGTTCGATTTTCAATCTCATTAAATTTTAAGCACATTCTCATATTCGTTAGTCAACTGGTAAAATTTTATTTTAGAGACTATTTTGTCTACGTTATAGTTTTTGCATTATACGAACAACTAAAAAAGATCGCACCAATTTTTGCCAGACTTCAAACAACAGCTAGGAAACCGCCTTTCAAAGTAAGTAGTTTGTAGGTCATTGTTCTGTCACTGCTTTGTATGAAATAAGAATCCCGGAACATTCATTTGTAACTGAGATTCTTTTGCAATTAAAACATAATGGAAATTAAGCATTTCTTTATCTAGAACAATAAAGTGGATTTTGATTGCAAAAATCAGCCATCTTTTGTCTGATATTTTGTGGATTTATTTGGAAAAAACTGACATGAGACGGTATTAAAGTTTTATCCATTTCGGTGATCTCAAGACAAATTTTGGAATTTTTCGCTGGTAACAATGGTCATATTTTCGAGACTAACCAAAATCATTTTTTTTAATCCACGAGGGATAGGACCAACATACGAGCTGTACAGCTCATCACGGCGAACCGCTGTTGTGCCCCTGCTTAAGAACTACATGCAATTTTTTTGGTTATTCTTCTGGGCTGGGTAATGTTGCCTCACCCTCAAGCAACGAGCACGGATCATGGTGGGCCTCGAACATCCGACCTTTCGATTGAGAGGCGGAGACGTAACCACTTCACCACTGCTAACCCTTTCCATCCTCGGCCTGAATTCGATGCCAATGCGGATATCTTGCTTGTTTTTATTCAAATTTCTTTGAAGAAATAACCTAAAAGTTTTTGATTTATTGAATTTTTTTTAAATGTTTTAATTTTCTCTTCAGACTCGGCCATGGGTTCGTCTGCAGAAGAGAGGAGAAGATGGGACGAAGTCTTCACTAACGTAAGTTCAGACTTCAATGCATTTCTGCTACAATGTAGCAAAGTATTTGGCGTGGTAGAGTCTTCACGCTTTCTGGTGAACCAATAGTGCTCATATAAGTAGGGTTCGGATGTTTTCTCTTATTGCAAACTTTTTTCCAAATTTTGTTCTTCATTGGAGTGAATTGAAATTAATAAAAGCTACTGGTGTATTTGAAGATCTTTCTGCGTTGTAAATGGCAATTAGTACATACTTTTGAGGTTTGTTTGCTGAGTGGTTATGATGCTATAATTAGGTTCTGTTTTTTTTTTTTGTTCTAGTATGACGTGCATAGACAGAACTTCATCACGATAGACACGTTCAAGCGCCTGTTGCACGAGGGGGGCTTGAGGGAGGAGTTGGCGCCCGACAGGATCAAACACCTGCTGGACTTCGCCGACAGGAACCAGGATGGATACCTCACTCGGCAGGAGTTCCTCGACTTCGTGAGTCTCTTTAGAATCCATATATCTTACTTGCCCTGCAACCTCGCTTCTTGTTATGAAATAATATTTTAACTATTGAAATGAGTTGAAAGCTTTTGCAGGAGATGAACAGATAGACTGGTATCTCTATTTACATAGATAAATTTCGAAAAAAATTCTTAAGGCTGACTATTCACTTTTTAAGTCTGATAAATCGAGTTATAAAACCGCATAGCAAGTTTGAAGTTGAAACAATGCTTATCTTTCGTATTTTTCCTATAAACTTTATTTGTTGACAATCAGAAGCCAGTCTTTTGCACAAAAACTCTTACTTGTTTCCAAGGTGTCCTTGCTGTTTAATTATCTTGGCAAGCCACACAAGGAATTCGAATGTATGAGCTCAAATATGTTCCTTCGAAGCCGTTGATCTTGACTTACTCATATGTTGCGGAAAAACAACGGGCAAAATATTGAAAGAGTTACGTGTCCTGCAAAAAAAACATCAATTTTCCAGCATACCTTTTTATGAGTAAGTTTGCGCTGAAGATCGAAAATAGCTAACAAAAGAACTATTCAAACATGAGATGATCAAGGATTTTCTCGAGGGGGCGGATTTTCAAAAGTTTGTCGATTTTTTTAGGTCGACCAAATTGATTTTCCGAGCTCTCCCAGAACATTATAAAGACCCTATTTTGAGCAACCGTTTTTGGACACTTTTTTGGAGTTTTGGCACGCGCTCCACTTCAAAATTAGTTTATATTGGCGCCAAAGGTAGAAAAATTTTCGGGTTGGTCTGAGAAGGAAGGCGTAAGTCCCCCCCCCCCCTAAATCTGCCACGGATTCCAGCAAATGTTTTGGAAAGCTGACTTCTCCGATGCTAGCAAAATAATCTCATCAGCAGTTATGTTGTCTGATTGTCCAGCTTTTTGGTATAAGCGCCCAGGACCTTTCAATTTCTGAATCGTTAGCATAGATACGACCTTTTTTCGACGCGAGACCAAGTATATCTTAATTTTTAGTCCGCTGTCTTTCCGCGACATAATCAGCTTCCGAAAGAACCTATTTGAGCAAATTCTAACTTCTCTATGTCCGGTGACAGTAGATTTATCCTCTTTGCCCTAGTCTCTTCGTGATGTTAGAAAGAATTCATTTCTCTCAATCATATAACAATAGCATGAGTTATCAATTAAGCTCATTTCAAACTATCACCAAAACTATTTTATGACTCTGAGGGGATAAACAAAGGGCAACAGCATTGCCCACTACAACAAACTCTAGACACCTACCCTGAATAATATTAAAATGAAAAAAAAAATTAATTAAAAAAAAAATGTTTAGATGATGGGCAATACGACAACAGACGAGGACGTGAGGATGAGTGAAGATGTTAGGCAGATGAGGGACAAAGTGAGGAAGAGGTTCAGGGGCAGACTGGCCAATGTGGCCATGCGGGAGGCACTGTTGAGTGACAGCCGCATGCAGACATACACGGACGTCATGTCCGAAGATGGATGGATCCCAGTCTTCATACCACTCATATCGCTAGCCGAAGTAAGAACACTGCGCATCATGAAGCAATACAGCAGAACGCTGCAAAAGGCATACTGTTTGGCTCTTTTCTGGCTGTTGCAATGCTTTGCCAATCAATCTATTGGTACTTTTTGGTAGCATCACAAAAATTTTAAGAGAATTGTACGTTTGTCGCAAAAAGCTGTTAAAAAGAGGTGACGGGGTATAGAGATGGGGTATTAAAAATAGTGGGCGGGGAAGAGATTTCACACACCAATTGTGACGGTGAAGTTAAAAATGTAAAGAAGATGATATGTTTTAGCTGATAGTGTTCATCTACTACTGCGTGGACATGGGCGAGATAGGACTGACTGAGCCAGTGCCCATCCAAAGTATCTTCATCTTCAACCCCAGCAAGCACGTCGAAGTGTGGAGATTCTTCACCTACTTACTAGTACATGCAGGGTTAGTGCTTCTACACGTGTTTCTGTTTTCTTTTTGCACTAGACTATTATATCACAAAAATCTTTAAAATCTGCCGACTTTAATTTATTTTGAAGAAAAATTAAAAATGAAAATATCGTGTTATCTTAGTTATATACATTACCTCTAATGGGAAAACTTATATAACATAACATTAGTCAGCCTTGGAGTTCAAACTTATCGTTCGCATAAATGTGCGTTCAATAGGCAATGGTCTTGAAAGAGCCTTCTGGCCAACTGTTTTCAACCAAAACAATAAATGAACAGCTGGGTATCAAAGTAATGACTGCGGTTATCCCCTCGCTCCCGAAGGAATGATTACCGAAAATTATGCTAGCTTATCAACTTCCAGTTTTCAAAAATTCGAAGTAAAGAAGCTGCGTTGAAAATGTTCGGGCTTGAGATTAGTCCTGTAATAATAAGCATGTAGTGAATTGGGAATATTTTTGTTGCGATGTTACAGGATTGAGCACATTGGAGCAAACTTGATATTCCAGCTGGTAGTGGGCATACTTCTGGAAATAGTGCATGGACCCATTCGCATGATCATCATCTACTTCACAGGAGTCATGGCAGGTGAGGAATATCGTGTCAACTAATTTAATTCCGCACATGAAAGACACGATACGTTAGAAATTTACATACGGCTGTCAGCTAGTTCTTCTTTTTTCAAAGCGTATTGTCTTTCTTGACTTGTTTTTGTAATTTTCAGCTTTTTTGATATAAAGACTCCATTTTTGATATAATGTTTGCGAAGTGCAGCTTCGCCTCTGTTATAAATGTTGTCAGTATTGTCCAAATACTGTGTAGCTTAATATGTGTATGTATAGGGTCTCTGGCGACTGCGGTGATTGACCCCAACGTGTATCTGTGCGGTGCCTCAGCAGGAGTCTACGCCTTACTTGCAGCGTACCTCGCCAACATAGTCATGGTACTTGAGCATAAATCTTAAAACTTTTTTTCAAATTACAATTGAGAGAGCCAGTGTCTTATAATCGCGAACAAGTCTCTATGGTCACTTTACAAGACCGTCACTTAAAGTTTATCTCTATACTTTTGATTTCCATATAAGAGGTGCTACAGCATGTAGTTCTAGCATTTGATACAGTTCCTAGCTTTTGATACAGGGCGTAATTCTAGCACATGTTTTCATTATCAAAACTAGTCTGAAGATATTTTGTAAGTATCAACATAACCGAGTGATCTAGTTTTCTTACATTGGGGTAGTTTTATTACGCTTGCGATTGGCATCTTTCCTGATGCAATGCCTCGAAACAGATTTTTAGCCTTTTTTGCTGATTGTTTTCGTTCTCATTTCACTTTTTCTTTCTTCGGCCTAAATGGTTTCGGCTGATAATATATCTGTTTATTTGCCTAATATTTGAAGGGTCAAAACATTTTTTGTTGCATTTGTGCTCTTGAAGGGAAGGAGGAAGGCAAAAAACGGTAGTTTAAGATTTTATAGCTCGAAAGTTTTTACAGCTATTTTCTGTTCATTTGTATTCTCAAATTTTGTCTGCTCAGTTACCGTTTGATGAATGATGTTTTTCAATACATATTAGACTTGTGAATTTAAGTGAACGTAAGTAGTATATTACCACTTTTCTTTTTTTTCTAACCTCAGTCGCAAATATTGGTGCCACTATTTGTGGCACCTTTAGGCTTTTGATAGCATGTCTTTTGACATTCGATTAGTAATAAGTTAACTCAATTGATGCTTTTCTCAATATTCAAATGAACCAAAGAAAGCTATTTGCTTCAAATATCAATAAAAAAATCGATTTCAGAAAGTTTCCAAGTCAATATATATGGCAATTTTTGAAATGAATAATTTATACATAATGTGTTTTTATGTTTTCTTACATGCAAAGTTAGTGTGAATGCCTTTAGTTTGATATATTCCAATTTATTACTTGCAAAATTGTGTCTGTTTGTATTCGGTGCCCCTTTTGCTGCATCGCATTGGCAATTTATTATCGTAAACAGCTGCTTTATTTGTGACTGGTATTTGAGTTCTGTTAAGCATTCGTGCGCAAGCTGGCAGGGAGTGAGACTCCAATTCTCGAGGTCGCAGTTTCGAAGCAAATACATAGCAATGTTTTTACTAATTCGAGACTTCTTTCTATTTTTCTTATTTCCATTTATAAAGCTGCTTTGTTGTCGTGTTCTCTCTTCGTTTCTGTGTTTCAAACTGGCAATTATATTTCTCAGGTTTGTGTTGCTTTCTTCCAAATCAACCAAAAAATCAGCCAAACAAATTTTAAAAAAATTGATAGTTTTTTCATTTTTGTTTAAACTGGTTTTTTCGAACAAGTTTTTTGGCTAGCTGCCTTTCGATTTTTAACGTATCGCAAAGGGATGCAAAGCTTTGGTTCGCTTCTGCGTTGAGTTTCTATTAACAGGTAGCTATATTAAAAGGCTCTCTTGGTTTTCTTGTTTACTCTTGCGATAATTGCAACCGGGTGCTCGGCTTTTTATCGAAAACTCTTTGTTCACAGGTTGACCACGGTGAAATTGGCGGTCATTTCAAATTCTCTTCTTTCATAAATCATCAGACGCATTTGAGCAGGCTTGCATTTTCAATATGCGCTTAATTCGAAATTTGCTTTTGATGGTAAATTTGTCAACTGCGATTGAATTTAACTTTAGTTTTCTTTTTTTTTCGTATCTTTTTTTTGCTTGAAAGGTTTCGGCTTTTGTTATGTCGTTTTATTGGCTTTATGGTTGTCATTTGGTGAGCGAAAAATCTCCGATATTTTTGATTGACAGAAAAATATTCAGAAAAAAATGCCGAAAAAACTGTTCTGGTTTTTTTGCTAACCTTTTTCTAAACTTTTTGAGATTAAGCGGTTTTGTCTCATTTCCTGTCGACTAGTTTGCCAAGCTATGTGTGTGTTTTGTCGCAAGTGTCGCGAAGCTCTGCTTTGCCTGTGTGTTAATTGCATTTACATTTTCTGACTAGTTTAACATACACGTCTAACATACACGAAGACAAAGTGTAAAACCCACGGGTTCAGATTAAAATTTATTATTATTTTTTACCTCGTCGGGACGGTATAAGCGTAAAAGAGAGAAGAGGCTGTGCGTTGTTCTGACTCTCAATTTTGTGCTAACCCGCGCTTTTTCCAAATCATTTCCGGATTATCAAAGTTTTTGGACGAAATAGTGCACACCAACTTGACTAAATGTATCAATGTCCTGAGTTCAAAACTTGAAAGAGTTTTCATTTACAATCCTGTTATGTATGGCATGGGAAAATTGAAAAAGGCTATAACACTCAGGGCTTGCTCTTGATACAGGCGGTCTTGTTTCTTTGTCTAATGAGTTAGATTTGGCGTTGTTTCAGAACTGGAGCGAAATGAACTGGCTCTTCCGACTGATTCGATTGCTTCTGCTGTTTCTTTACGGTGAGTTGCGCTACTTCAGTAGAATCGTTACTTACTAGCCAGGTTTTATCATGAGGTGAATTACATCGCAATTTTTATGTGCTGATTCCCATTTGCATTGAGTTTATTTACACAGTGCTGATTTAAATTAACCGGACAAAACGAAAAATATTGGAAACTTCAAACGCGTTTTTGTCAAATTGAGTTAGGATTAGACAATGACTGACAAAGAGAACTTGGTTGGGGCTGGGAAAGAGGCTTCTTTCGATATAAATTTGTCATCAATTAACGTGTTAGTTTCAGGGTAATTATTGATACACAAAAAAATGCAAAAATGTCCCATTTTGGTACAATTTTAGTTCCGAATTTAAAAAAAAAATAAAATTCGGAACTTTTTAACTCGGAACTAAAATTGTACCCCAAAAATGGGCCATTTTGGCTTTTTATGTTTATCAAAAATTACGCAGAAACTAACGCGTTAATTGATGAAAAAGTTATATCGAAAGAAGCCTCTTAATCAACCCAACAAAGTTTTACAAGGGGAGCATCTTAAAAAATCTGTAAAAAATATATTTTGCTTCATAACCAAAAAAAAGTTCAAAATTTAATTCAATTTCAAAACATACTACTCAAAAGCTTTGCCTAAAACAGATATTAAACGTTTTACCCTGCTAGAATTTTGTTCGTTTTGTCAGGTCAATTCCCTTTATATTCATGTGTAAGAGACTTCTTTTGATATAACTCCATCAACTAACTTTTTAATTTTATCGTAATTCTTGATAAACTAAAAAAGCCAAAATGACCCATTGCCAAAATGCCGAATTTAACAAACAATTTGCACCATAATTCTCGTAAAAATATAAGCAACTTTTGTTTTCTTCACTTTTTGTCTAATTCTAACCCAATTTGAGAAAAACGCGTTTTAAGTTACCAATGTTCGTTTTGTCAGGTCAATTTAAATCAGCACTGTATTTAAATCAGTACTGGAAGAGTTGAATGAGCCATATAGCATTCCCTATATAGAATTCAAAATTGGGTTGGATGAGAAATTGTGTCTGTCCACTCTTCTGCCTGCATCTAACTTAAAATTCATTTAAATTCATGTTAAAATGTTTGTCAATTTAGCCACCGTTGACATCGGTACCGCTCTGTACAGACGTTATGGCTCTGATGCTGTGAACCCCACTGCGTATATGGCCCATATATTCGGAGCCATAGCCGGGTTCCTGGTGGGCATAGTCATTCTGAGGAATATCAAGAAGAAGCTGCACGAACAAGTACTGTTCTGGATTGCACTTTGTATATACATCATCATGGATGTGCTCCTGTTGTGTATCTACATTGGAATTGAACTCAACAAAGAAGACTGATCTCGCAGTCGGAAGATCAGATGGTCGAAACGGTTTCAGTGTTGAAATGGAATTCTTCGAATGTAGTATTTATATTCAATGTTACTTTACAATGCACCACTGCTATTGAGGTCAACGGAAGGCACACAATAAAAATATATGCCCACAATATTCAAGAGCTCTTCCCTTATGGATCTATCCTCATTTTTTTACTGTCCAAATTGCGAAATTGATCGAAATTTAATCCCACTCGAATTGCCTTCAAACTTCTTTTTGATGAGTTAAATCAAAACTTCGCCTTAAAGAGAGCAGATTTTATCCAGTTCTGAACATAAATCATTATTACTAAAATTATCTTTTATATTCAAATAGTGAAATTGTGAATTAATTATTTCGAAATTGTTAAACGGTGTTATTACCCTTGCGATAATTGGATGTTGCCATGTATTTCTTGACTCTTTCCTTAACATGCTTTGTGTGTAAAAATGAATCGCTTCATGTGTTCGCAGTGATCTTTTTCAAATTTAACCGTTTTCCCACAGGTGCGGATCTGCTTCGGGTTTTGGCTGTTCAGATAGTCACCCTTAATGGAGGCTTTGGATAAAAATGATGTGGTTAACTTAACCGAAATAAAAAGCAACCTTTTTGAAAAGAAAGCTCGAGCAAAAAAATTGGTCCTTAAATGAACTCGTACTTAAATGAATTCTACCAATTTTAATCTGAGGTTTGTTTAAAATAAAATTTATAGATCCGCAGCTGTTCTATATATTGCAATTAATGACGTAATTGGATGGTGATGCAATAAGTTTGTTCCTGCTTCTTTCTCAGGGATGACATCATGTTATCACTTTCTTTCTGGTATGATTTGTCATCTTATGGTCGCGAACACAAATTATCAGTTGTTTTCTATGAGCTTAACTCAAAGTTTGATAAACCTGTTCAGCTGAACTTGTTCAACTCAACTGATACAAAGAAGATGGTAACGATGAGCATTCAGTGGACAACCATTAACGTTTTTGCAAAAAGTTGCTAGTGTTTTTCTAAATTACAATTTAGATTAAACTTTAATGGATTAGTTTATTTTAAAAAATGAATTAATTAAGAGTTTATTTTATTAAGAAAATCAAGTACTTTCGTATAGCTTTCTCTTGCCTCTTTTCCTAATGCTATACGTCTTACCTTCTGTCTCAGATCAATATCAATGTGCTGTCAATATCAATGTGAATGTGATTCCCATTCGAGTTCAGACAAGTCGGCCTCTGTGTTGGGTCCTGCCCCGTCAGATTTTCAGGATCTGGATCGGGAATTACTGAATTAACCAACCTGTCGATCATTGTCATCATATCCTGCATCTGCGAAGCCACCTGATCCATTCGGTGGTCGTCCGCATCCCTGTCGTCCACTCATCGTCTCTCGAGTTCTGCATATCAATATTTATTTGCATACTCACTCTGCCGCGAGCCCTGCATTTGCAATTGCATCGCTATCTGATCCAGTCTCCGATCAGTTTTCGACTGCAGTCCTGTCAGATCGGCCGGTATCTGCTGCTTGTCAACGACCTCTACACTGTCTATGTCAAGTCTGGTACACTCTGCAAATCTTGAACATAGTTTGGTCGTCTCCTGCTCCTCGCTCTGGCAGTTTTATTAACCAGTTCCAGAAACTGGGCTCGAGCGACTGCCTGCGTGAAACCTTCAAACTCCTGTCGAAGAAGCAGTTACGCATCATATATGCCATCTATGAACTGCTCACGGTTCATATCGTCTCTCGTTTGCGCGCCCATGTTTGCGTTCGCCACTTCACCTAGCGATCTGACTCGCCTCGAAAACTCTAAGGCCTTCATTATCGCCCTGCATGAGGTTTTTGAACTCTGGCCGCAGTTCGACTCTGGAATGGCATCAACCGCTGATCAAGCTCGGCAAGCATCCTCATCAATGTCGGCTCAGGGAAGCCATCAACTTCTTCCCTGAAGTGATTCGGCATACTCGTCCAGAGCCCAACCTGTTAAACACGTGGGCAGTACCATCCTATCTTGTTCATCTTCCCACCGGTTGGCATCTGCAACCCAAGAAAAATGTTTCCTCCAGTCCGCCCAACCCTGGTAGTTACATGAAGGAAATCGATCTGGCCGTATCGTCCCAAATCCAAAAACGCCTTGCTGCCTGTCCAGCGCGTTCGCTGCTGCAACTGCGGCTTCAGGAATCAGCCGCCTGTCCTGATCTTCCATGTCGTGTTACACCCGAATCGTCAGTTGGCAACACACACTTTGCAACTGCAATCCAGAATATGGCCCACCCAGGAGCGCCAATGTAGATTTAGGGGATTTCTTAAGTGGTCTCATTGGCAGTGTTTTCAGCGGGGCGACCGAGGTTCACTACTATCTACAATCCCGAAAGGGTTAATTTGGTGGCAACTATTCTGCACTGCTGTGTTGCTTGCCCCTTCTGTGTATTGCTTTTAGGGCTGTCTCGTCAATACAATTGTAATGATCTCCAATGCACGACGTATATAGACAGCAAGCAATTTTCTCTTCAACTGATTAAAAGTTTTGCTTGACCACGATTGTCACTCTTCAATCATGAATTTTTTTAGAAAATCAGTACAGCTGAATGCGGAGTTCATTAGTAGGTTTATCATTTATGACTTCATTGCACTAAGCAACTTTGCAACTAGATCATGCTTTCAAGAAAAGCTTAAGTTTGTGCAATCAAGTCAAAAAGCAAAAAAAAACTGCACTGTCTTGAATTATGAAGGTTTTCAATTTTTTTCAGTTTCGCTCTCTGCGGAATTTTATCCCTTCACCTATATTTGTTGGTTTTTTGATCTAATTATCTCATCATTTTCAACTTGCGAGTGAATGGAAGCTGATTTTTCTCATCATACATCAAGAATGGACTTGGCTTTTTACTTGTTATTCAATATGGCAGTTTCCGCTTAAGCCCTGTGGGACCACGGAAACTGCGAGACTACATGAAGATTAACAATTTTCAAATTTACATACCGTAACTCCGGGAGTAATTGAGCTATTACAGTTTTAAAAGTTTTCTTGAGGCATGAATATTTTGAGAAGAACGTATGACATTTTTTAAAATTTTTACTTCCCAGTCCATTGTCTGGAACACATTGAAACATGAACATTGTTTTAACACAATTAGCATTATAGCATGCTTAATTTTGAAAACCGGACTTGTATCGATAGGACATGGAAACGAACCTACAACCTACGGAGACCGAATCATGAACATAATTTGACGAAACGAAATCGCTGTTAAAGACGGACGTAAAAGTGAACGACAAATTTGAAATTTTTGAGGAGTGGGCGTGTATGTATGTATGTATGTATGTATGTATGTATGTATCTATGTATGTATATATGTATGTATGTATGTATGTATCAATGTCTGTGATTTTCATGATAACTGTCATTAACAGATTTAAAGGAAAACAAACGGACACGAGAATTTTGAAAGCAAAGAAAATGGTGTTTTTGAAATATTGCGAATAATGATGATTTTCTTTTCTTTAAGTTTTATAGACAATAATGATTATGGATCTAATATGACAATGAAGAGTGTTATAAAAAACTTTTTTTTTGAAAATTGTATTATGAGCTTCCACTTTATACAGCGTTTTTAAATTTTGATTTAAATCTTTTTTTTTCGAATATTTTTGAGGATATTGAAATGGAGTAGACAAAAAAGCTGAAACGATTTGAAAGATTTCAGTCAGTATATGCATGATTGGTAAAACATGATTTCAATTCGTTAATTTGAACTGAACAAACTGAGAAAGTTTGACAGCTGTTTAGGGGAACGTGGTAAAAAAAAAACATTTTCGACGTGTCAGAGTTTCGAACCGGCGGTTTGGTGGACCAGTTATAATCCACTGACCTAACGTCTGTTGATGGCAGCTACAAGCTGCGTTTGGCAGTGAAGGAAACTGAAGAATTAATTGCTGTGGTGTAGTAAGGAACTATTTGAAATAATTCCTTGTGGGATAGTTTTCTGAAACTGGAGTCAAACCAGGCCTCTCTTCTATCGTGCTTCTGTGGGCTTTTAAATTTTTTATCTATGTTTATTGGAAGGATAGGAAAAACATTGAACGATATGAAGGAACGCTCTGGCACTGGAACTAGGGCTACCTGCTTCCAAGTACTGCGCAGATACGCTTGTGCTAACACAGATGTTCAATAGCCACTTTTTTTGCCGACCAATCATCTGAGCTCATAGAAAGTATGGCTGGAAAAAGACAATAGTTAAATTCTCCGTGTTTTGTGCATTGTTGAGAGTTTGTGTGATTAGTTAAAACTAATTTTCCATGAGGGAAATGAAACAAAGAAACTAAAAGTTTGATCTATTGGAGTCACTGCCTTGGCGGTAGACAACGGGTCATACCACTGTCTCTCAATGTATATGACGGATTAGATGCACGAACGTCCCTTCCTTATGAACCTCCTCCGCTAGTCGGTCAGGGGATACGTGTCTGGCAAGCCAGATTGGGAACCTCAAACCCACGCCCTCCTCGCCATTAAATGAACTCAGGATGTCGGACATTTCACTTTAGATCGACTAGCTTCAGAGACCAGCTTCAGATGCCCCGCCAAAGACATCATCGACTAGTTTAGGTTTATTTTGAGTGATGTTGAGAAGGCGTTGGAAGGTAGCGAAACAATGACAAAAAAACGGTTTATATTATAAACGTCCGAAATATTATGCATTGGATTAACTGCTTACGTTAGACGGAAAGCCTGACATCTCAAGGAGGGATTAACATGACATTTACTAATTGTATTGTACTGATTTTACTATCGCTATGAGTAATTGAAATACTTATTCTATTCTCTAAACTCAGAGCTGTTTAGTGCAGTGGTACTGGAGTGCACTGGCACTCCAGGGGTTAGTGGCTCAATCCTCGAAAAAAATTTTGTTCTTTTGAAATCAATAGGCTATCTAAAAACCTAAGCCACAACAGCTTACTTTCGAACACTTGTATTCATTTGATTAAATTTCGTCAATTTTTAATGTGCTTGTGCTGTTTACTTTTTAATTTGGTCTTCAATTTTAAGCTTTATTTATCTTGTTGCAGGTGTTTGCAATACTTTTGAAAATAAATGCTTCGAAAATGAACGAAAAAAAGTGTCTGTTTAAGGAGCAGTTAGTGCAGTGGTAACACAAAAACCTTCCAACCCGAAGAAGTGAGATGAAATTTTTCAGCGGCTTTAAAATATATTGATTTATTATTCATACATTTCTCTTCAGAAGCAAAAAAAAAATGCGAGAATAACCTCAAGAGAGCAAAAATGACAGAAAAATTTGAGAAAAGTTTTCATTGCCCATTGATTTGGTAGTAATATCGCTCGTAAACGAGATCCATTAATTTATTTTCGGTTTTTATGATAGAGAGAATCCAAGAAAATTACCACATAATGGATACGTATAATCCTGAAAAAGTTGGACCCGCCAAAAACGAATGAAAAGTTACAATTTGTAAGGTGGAAGAGAAAGTTTTACAGTTTGATTGCGTGGAATGGGGATACAGAATGGACATGTTTGAGTCGTTTTTTTCTCTGTTGCATTTATTTGGAGCGTGATGGTGGAACGAAGCAGTTTTCAGGTTAGTCATGTGGCAATGAAACGGTATGATGTGTTGTTGTGGAACGATAGGTATATGCAGACGGCAAAT